AAATAATTTAATCAAATCTTCTTCAGAATTCACACTGTTTTTATTTTAATGATAAAAGATACAATCTAACTTTAAATGATTATATAATATTTATATGGATCACAATTTCCATCTTGACAAATACAAAAATAATGCAAATACATTCTAAACTTACACGTTCAGCTCGAACAATTCGTTGATTACATTCATCGACTTTAGTTTCATATTCATTTTTTTTTCTAACAGCATCTTCATATTTAACTTGTAATGTTCTTAAACCTTCTTCTAATTTTTTTAATTCACGTTTTTTAGTTGCTAATTCTTCTTTAACAACAGCTAATTCAGCTTCAGCATTAGCTAATGCTTCTTTACGTGGTGCAACTTCTTTATTAATCATATAAAATGAATACATAGCTCGACTCCACATACATAATGATTTACATGCTTTTGAAGTTTTTTCTATTTTAATTGGATCAAAATCAGGACTATCAATATGTTTTTGTAATTTTTGTATAACAATTTCTGGAATATTTTCTTTATCAAAATCTCTTAATGATTGAAGAAATTTTCCAGCATCACCTAATAAACCACGACCTGGTTCCCAATAATCATCTTCTTTTTTACCTGGTTTACTAGGCACAGGTACTTTTAATGGTTCAACTTGTTTTAATATACAAACAGCTTCCATTGTTAGTTTAACACCAGGTGGTGGTCGTTGTAATGCACGTACTTCATTAATATCATTTTTTGATAAAACTTCAAGACTTTGTAATGCCGCTTCAAGTGCCGGTAGAGCTTCAGCTAAACGATCTGATGCTTCACTTGCAATAGCACGTGTTTCTTGTACTTTTTTTAAAACTTGTTCTTCTTCACTAGCTACTTTGGTTTTAATTTCTTCTGTATTTGTTGTATCTTCAGCTATTTTAGCCATTGTTTCATTTGTTTCACGCACAGCTTGATCAAGTAATGGTAACATTTCATTTAATTCAACACGTAATTTTGCAACATCTTTTTCTGTTGCTAATAATTTATCTAAGCCAGTTTTTGTACGTTTTTTAGCTAAAACTAGTTCATCTTTCTTTTTACCAAATATTTTTGAAAATATATTTAATAATTCAAGATATGATGTTGGTGTAACATAATTATATCGACTCATTTCTTCACGATATTTTTGTGTCGTAAGTGCTACAGATTGATGAATTTCTTGACATAATTTAACTAGACCACTAACAACATTATCATCAGCATCTAATGTTGGCATATTATTTAAATATGTTTCAGAAACAGCTTCTAAGGCATCTTTAGGCCATTCAGAATACCAATCAATTGTACAACAACTAGAAATATATGTTGAATGTTTTATATGAGAAAGAAAAACATATATGAGGTATATTGAAGAATTTAATTTTAAGAGATGAGTGCAAAGTGATATTCAACCAGGTATTTGACTAAAATGTCTGTTCAATCGTCCTTTTCAGCCATCATGATTGAATGACTGCGTTGTTCGGCATGTATTCACAAAGTACTATGCTCAAATCTTAGTATCACCAGCATGCTTCAAGACCAAGGTCTCTGTTGTTTTCTTCTCGAACTGAATAAGTCATCTACTGCTGTTATTCTCGGATCCTTCATTTGACAGCATGCTGACTATGTTGTGGCCCGCATGTGTTCTTGTAATTAGTGTGTATGAGGGCTCGTGACAACTGAGCGTAAGAACAATGTGCCAGGCTAGCCTTCTATCCGAAAATACAGTTGGTATTAATTGTAGAGAAGATATCAGGCTATTGAATCTGCTATTAGAAAACCTTTCATACTCCCAAGTAGCTGAAATATAAGCGTATTCTTCCTTATTCTTTTGATTTTCTTCTCAGCTGTTTCAATAACTCTTTTAATGTCATTGAAACATAACTTAAGCATTACTTTTGCTTACTGATTTTTCTAAATAAAAATTTTGATCGTTAGCTCAGACTTACTTGACTAATGCAGGAAATTGACGAAGTCGTGCACGAAAAACTTCACCAATTGGACTAAAATTAATTGAATATTAATTTTATCTCTTTTTCCAATTTTAAAAATAAATTTATCTTTATTTTTACCTCATACAAACAACACTATGTAGATTTTGTCGTACACGTTTCGTATAAGCTGAATAAAGATTAGTTTTTGTTGGTGGTAAACCTGCTTCGGATATAACAGGTTTCATTGCTGTATAAATTTGTTCAAGTTCATCAAATTGATATATATTTGGTACATCACCACTATTCAATATATTATTAAGATCTTCAAGAAATGATTCACTTTTGATCTATATATATATATATAAACAAATATTCATACGAATGATTTTAGTTTATAAGAAAAAATAAAATAAATTATTATTACTTGTGTATCAGAAAAAAGAAAAACAGTCGCTGTATTACGAAGACCAGCATGAAGCATAAATTTTCTTAAGTCATCTTTCCATTCGGTTATACCTATGAATGAAAAAAAGAAGATGTATAAATGATTTTAGTTTAATTATAACAATTTTACCATAGCTTTTTGATAATTGAATCGAGCGAATTTCATATTCAGCACTAAATTGGAAAAAAAAATATATCAATTTTATAAGGATTTTCCTAAATAAATTAAACGATATTCGTGCTAATTTTTCTTTTATAATGAAATATAAACAATTTTGAGATAGTAGCAATGTTTTTCTTTCTGTTCATTCTGACCATAGATAGTCTTTGATGAGTTAGGCTGAACTGAATTGCAGAAAAATAAATGTAAACTGTTATTTCGGAAATTCTAATTTTTACGCTAGTATAGTTTTCAGCATTCAAATTTTTTACGATAAATGGTCCTTAGTTGACAATACACATTTACACAATCAACATAAATTAAAGCCGCAAGTACTTTGAATATCTCAATACAATCAATACTGTGCATGTACGGAATTCAACTATTCTTTCAGGATTTGTCTAATTACGATTGTATATTCATCTATGTAGGGCATATATTAATAATACATCTTGATGATATTTTTTATTACTTGTTTTATCTGTTGTGGTTTTTTGCATGAGTATACGAGAAAACAACTAATAGATTGCAGAGACTATTGAAAACGAGATATGTCTGACAAGACTTTAATCACTGCGTCTTTAAAATACTAATTTTAAAGAATCTTGATCAATTTTGAAAAAAAAATAGTTTAATTCTGCATTTCCAGAATATCAATGATACTGATATATTCAAAGAATAAATATAGTTAGGACTTGTACTTATACTGATTGTATGGATGTATACAATTGATTAAGGCGCACCCACTGTTTAAGTTTTGACTGTTGAGAACTAAACTAGCATAAAAACTAAAATTTTCGAAATTACAGCTTAAAGTGATTATTCTGGAGTTGAGATTGATCTAACTCATCAAAGATAGTCCACAGGGAAGAACCCTATAGACCATCAAAGACAAAGATACATACAGATATTCTGGAAGCTCATCTTCATTTCTTAGCAAAACAATACGTTGATTTTCTAAACTGAATACACCTTCATATAGTGAACAGATTTTAACGGTTCCCATGATGTTCAAAGCCTTTAACTATAAACAATTATGGTTTTTCGTTGGTTATGCTATACTACTTTGGATGAGTATTTCTGATTACAAACATTTAGAATGACAAAATAATTTTCGAATCTATTTAGTTGACTCTTTCGTATGATATCAATCGAGTATTTCTATCGTCTTCAGATAAAACTTTTTTATATTTCAAAAAAAAAATTAGAAATCTGTTTGATTTATTACATGAATGCAGCAAGTCGTGTAAGTGATTGCCGTCCAGAACCTCCAACACCTAATAATAATGCATTGCCAAGTGGTTGTTTAATAATACGTATTATTCTTGCAATATGTTTCATTGCATCCATAAATAATACTAAATTCATTTTAGCAACATTAACTTGATTATATTCTTCTAAATAATCATCTAAACGTTTTTTCATCTAAACCAAAAAACACAGCAATATTTCAAATTTATCTAAAAAAACCGATAAAATCTTTTATAATTTACCATTTTTAAATCATCTATTTCTTGATAAGCTCTATCACCACTATGAGCAACAAAATCTCCATAAAGTACTGGTTCTTGTACGACATCATTAAAATTTACATGAAAATCTGCTACCATACGTTCACCAAGTAATGAACGAAACCAATCTCGATCTTCATCATTAATTAAACGATCTTGAAATACACGACAATTTTCATGATACCATAAACGAAGGAGATTTTCAACACTCTAAAAGACAAAAGTTTCATATTAACTATTAAAAAACATGTTTGTCTTTATCGAAGTTTGGTTAGCATAAGCATCGCTCAAGAAAAGAGATCGCGACTCGCGATAAACTAGAAAGAATGATCGTAGCCAAAAAACTAAAGTGTCTGTGACAAGTCTATGATAATGTCTGTCATGGTCTGTGGGAATGCAAATTTCTACTCTATATATGTCAACACTCCTTTTGGATTATGTTTGAGAACAAAAAACACAACAGGAAAACATTATGTCTTACATCAACTTTTTTTGATTCCATCATTAACATGCCTTGAAAAATTTTAGATAAATCTCGAAGATTAAATGTATAATGTGATTTGCTTGGTGTTGGTAATAATGATGTACAAACTGTTTTATATACTTCAATTGATGACATGATTAATTTATCACTAATATTTAATAAAAATTCATTTTGTCTTGACCACCAATTAAATATAGTTGCAAAAATTTTTTTCATACTATCATTTTCAAGTTCCGTAAATGAAATAAAATTGAAATGACGTGTCAAACGAGGTGTCACAGGATTACGACCACCACTATACATAAAATAACATAAAATAGAATAATGTTTTTTTTTTTTTGGAAAATAATTCATTACCCTGGTGGACCCATAGAACAAACAAAATTTATATCAACTAAAGTACGAAATTCGCCAACAACTTTTCGATCATACCACCCTTTAAAGTCCATATATTGTCGAATTAATTCAATAGGTGGTTGTGCACCATAAGTTTCTAATGCTGGCATATTAAGATCATCAATAAAGAAAAGAAATACTTTGCCAAGTGGTGGACCATATATACCACGACGTCTAGAAAAAAACAAGATCATATAATTTGCATTTTGTTTTATTTATTATTATATTTTTAAATTTAAACCTTTTATCTAATTTTGAATCAATTAAATCTTGTGTTTGATTAGCATTTGTTTTAGCTGAAAAGACAATAAATTCAGGACTAAATTCTTTTGGCATTGAACGCATAAGTTTATCAGCAACAGTTAATGTTTTGCTTGTTCCTGTTGGTCCAACACATAGAACTGGACGATCCATACGTAAAAGCATTTCAATAATATATGCATTACGTATATTATCAATTGTTGGTACAAGTATATCAGAATATTTTGCATCATTTGCTATTTGATATGGTGGTAAATCAGCTAACCAATGTTTCCAATGAGGTCGACGTTTTTTACTTTCATCATTACTTTCTTCTTCAGATTTTTCTTCTGCTGGTGCTACAATTCCACCATCATCAAAAACATAATCATAAACAAGTCCATCATCTGGAATTGGAATTTTAATCTAAAGAAAAAATATTTCATTTTTCTTTTTTCATAATATAATTACTAAACTTTCGATCAGAACATTGAAAATTAATCAAGAGAGGTATTTGTCTAATTTCTATTAACAAGTTTCTAGAAAATCAAGACTTTCAAGTTCCATGTTTTTGGATTCTATGAAAAATATTGTGCAAATAAGTTCATCTGATAAAGAAAACGTTTCTCAATAAAATAAGATGTTTCGAAGTTCTTCACGAACTATCTTAGGTGAACACATGACTTTGAAAATTTGTATAAACCTACCGGACTATGTTCAAATTTCTTCCGTAACCATTCTGAAAATTTTCGACGTGAATCATTATCACATGAAGCACCAACAGACCAAATAAGTGAAAAGATAAACCATGGTTCAAGTAATTCACCTACATGTTCAAAGGCTTCCGGTGGTGCTTGTTTATCGGACTAGAAGAGAAAATAAAAATCAAATAATATATATATATATCTATAATATATTTAATAATCTATATCAAGCATAATCGAGAAGCAAAAAGAAAATCAAACAATTATCTTGTTCTGATATATATTAATAATAAAAACAATTAGTAGATAAAAATCAAATAAAACTCTATTAAGCAAACGAACTACTTCTACTTACACGTCCTTGACGTTGACCTTTCTGTAAAAATAAATTTAAAATAATAATTTCATATTTTTTTTCTATATTTTTCAATTCGAATTTCAATAGCCAAAAAAGAGAAAAAATTTTATTCATATCTTACTTCTCGTGGTCGAAATGGTTGAATAAAACAATCGAGCATTTTAATTAAACTAAATGTTAAATTACTATCATATGTTGGAATAATTTCTTTAACATTTTTTCGAATGAATTTTATTGATGACTAAACATATATTTTTATTTTATGAAAAGAAATTATTTAATAATTTAATTACTTCAAGATAAGCATCAAATAATTGCTTAATTGTATCATAATGTTTAAATATAGGATCAGGTAAACATTTAAGCCAACATTCAACAAATGGTTGTAGACCAAGTATTGATGGTTCTAAATAAACCATACCACAACGTGATACAGTAGCTGGTGATGCTTGAGATAAATCAGCTACTTCAAACATCATTGTCATAGCCTAAAAGAATTTTTTGTATTTATTCTATTCTGTTTTTTTTGTTAAATCATACTTCAGTCATTTTTATAATTTCACCACTACTTAAACATAATTTTTTATTATCATCTAATACAGTATTCATATTTTCGATCCATACTGCATCAACAGGTCCTATGAAAAAAAAACAATCGATTTTCAAAATGAAAAAATATTTCAAATAAATGAAAGACTTACCATCAAATATATACCATCGCTTATCATCATTTTCTGCTGCAACACCATGTCGCATTAATGTTGAAAGTATACCATCAGTCCTGAGAAAAAAACAAACAATGTTTTATTTATTTCATATATGATATTGTATTTTTTTTTTCTAGTTCAATGTACCATTCATGTGTTAAATCATCGAATGCACCGTATAATTGACCCATAGTAATAGATTTTGGATTGAGTACATAAGTATAAACAGGCTTGAATGGTGAACCGGCTGGATTGGTTTTTCCTTTCATATATGTCATAGCAATTTGTAAAGACTCATAACTTTTCGTTTTTCCAGAGCCAGTTGGACCGACAAGCATCAGACCTTCAACGAGAACAAAGAATTTGATAAATAGTTTATCTCTAAACATATGCAATTCAGTCAGACCGAGACTGCCATCAGTTCGCATACAATGGTCTATTTAATTTTCAATCTGAATTTACGAAAAAATCGCTTTGATATCAAACTAAAGACTATGAGAAATATATACCAAAATCCACTACTTAAAAATAGAAGGCATATATCTATGCATAATGAGATATAATTAACAACTGCACACCACTAAAAGCATCCCATGTTGCAAAAAAGCATGATAGTTTTTCTCAGTAAACCGTAGTATTATTAGTCAAAACCGGTGGGTTACCGCGGTAAATTGCAGCAATGGGAGCTGATAACAGGATCGGTAAAACCGCAGTAAACTGCTGTTTTTTATCACACGGATAGATATCTCGCGCAGTACATAGCAGCGTGATACATTTCCCGACATCAGTAATGAACAATGAATAAGAACCAATTATAGTTGTATGAAAACTGCTGGTCATCGAGTTTCGAAGACCAAATGTTCACCATAAAGGAGATTGAGAGTCTTTGTTAGACCGCCGTCGTTGTAGAAAGTAAGGTAGGTTTTTTTCTGAAGTTCAGTTTTAAACAAAAAAGGTCATACACTCTAAGATCGCTAGGATCGGGAAGAGAGGATTGATGATCTAGTGGATCAGTTGAAAGCTTTCTACTAAAGCTGACTACATTTTGGAGGCTGAGCGTTTCTTTTTGGGACTCGGTCAGCAAAAAGAAATCGCTGGAAAAAACTAAGAATACTTGTCGATAGCTTTTCCTTTATATTGTTTGTATTTAATTTATTGAATTTTGTAGTTTACAAATACAAATGCTTTCTAAGTATATGAACTTACCGTGTCGAACAATAGTTGTTTCAAATAATTGAATACATTTAAGTAAAAATCCAGGTACATCTTTAATTTTAAGTTGTTTACATGCATGACGTAAACCTTCTTCGAGTATTTGATAATCAATAGGTTCTTCTCTGTTGAATTAAATATTATAATAAAATCGTTTATAAATTAATTCGTCTTACTTAATTTTCGGAAAAAGATCAGAAACAATACCAGTAAATAATTTCAAATCATCTTGAAGAAATTTCGGAATATTAACATCGCGAATAGCTCGTAGACAAATTAAATCCTAGATTTGAATATTTTCGTTTATCAAAAAAAAAAAAAAAAGAAATCAATTTCTAACCTCATTCATATTCTGATATTGACGTTTTAAATTACCAGCTGCTGATATAACTGATTTGACAGCACGCATACCAAAATCATAATGATCTTGTGAACTTAATTGTTCTGATGATAATTTAAACGTTTGTACAATCTTTTTAGCTAATGGTTTAGCTTCCGAAAAACCAAATGAAAACAGAGAATTTTCAGCAATAAGACCATAATCAGGAACCATCATAGCTAAAATAAATATATTTACTCACACGAATTAGTTATACTTAGGTGTACTTACCAACAGGTCGAAATAGAGCTTTAAGATTATCAGGTAATTCGGTACTAAAATAGAACAAAAAAATATGTTCAATCATGAAGAAAATTTTCTTCTACACACCGGCCAGCATAACCTGGATTCATTGTAATAAATACAGCACAGGATGGTTTGAGTACAATTTCTTTTCCTTCAAACATAAATCGTTCGGCCTAAGTGTAAGAAAATTAAATTAAAATATTCATCTAATAAAATTCACAAAAAAAAAATCATAATCAGCAAAAATCAAAATTTTTAGATTTTCAGCAGCTTTAATCATAATACATGAGTACGAAGAGTTAATTGAATAGTTAGTATTTGATTTGCCACTACTGATAGTACTTCAATGTCGATACGCTATATCATATATTTAAAATATACATATATAAATGTATATTTCTAATGATTATACTAACATTGAATTCATCCAAACAACACCAACAACCACAACTGGAGAATAAGTATATGTAAATTAGTTAAGAAAGATTATTATATTAATACAAAATCAAACAAAGAAAAGTAATCAAAACTATTCTATTACCTTTTGCATAAGAGCTTGATTAATCACTTGAATTTGCTGAGCGACTACCGAAAGTACTTCAATATCGATTCGATTAAATTCATCGAAGCAAGCCCATGCACCAGCACTGGAGTAAGAGAAAGAGCAAGAATACTAAGATATGAGCTGAAAGAATCTAATTAATGAAGAAATCTCGTTGGAATCAATTTAGAAGCCCAGCAATAAAAAAGACAATCAACAAGAAATCAAGATTTTGTTGTTTTATACCCGTAAATAAAGTGCACGCTGTATTGTTGATATTTGATTAGCAACAACACTCAATACTTCAATATCAATACGATTAAACTCATCAAGACACGCAACTGATCCAGCACTTGATGAATTTTGATGATATATTATAGATATGTTAGTATCAACAAATCAACTGTACTCACCTTGCTAAACCACAAAAAAATTTAGCCATAGCCTAGAATTAAAAAACAAAACAAAGGAATGTCCAAGAAAATATTTCAAATGATTTTACCATAAAATCTAATTGATCTGAACAATTAAATACGACACATTGTACAGCCATAGCTTTAGCTAAATCTTTTGTTGTTTCAGTTTTTCCTGTACCAGCAGGTCCAGCTAAAAATTTTCACGAAAAAAAGAAGGCAATCTATTAAATAATTACTAATTATTTTTAATTACCTGGTGCACCACCAAATTTCAAATGTAAAGCACCAGTTAATGTCAAATAACATCGATCTGTTAATGGAGTGATAACCAATCGTGGTGTATTACCTAAATATTCATAACCATATCGAAATTCAGCATTGACAGCACGAATATATAAATGATCATCAGTCCAATAATAACGTAACTAAATAAGAATGTATGATTAAGAATTTTTTTTTCTTTTCATCAAATAGTTTATTTTACCTGTGATATCCATTCAAAATCATTGACATCCATAACTTTTTCTTCAATAAGATTAATAACAACATCACGTGCATGTACTTCAATAACAATTAATGCTTTTAATGTTTCACGTGCATTATCTGTTAATTCTCCACGTACTAAATCTCGAAGATCATCTAATTCACCTAATTGTTGTTTATGATATTTCTGAATTTCTTTTTTTTGTAATGCTTCTGATACTTGTTTAGTCCAAAATGTTTGTGAACCAGCTACAACAACTTGACCTGGCCAATATTGAACCCATTTTTTACGTGGTCGCTAAAAAGAAAAAAAGAAAGATTAAATAATAATGAAATTATACATTCATGATATCTTCTACTTACTGTAACATAATCTTCTAAAGCATCGTGAATAATTTGTCGTAATGTTTCACGCATAACTCGTTCAATTTCACACATCCAATCTTCAACATTACCAACTGGATATATATCTTTTCGAAAATCAACTTCTTCTTGTTCAGCTGAATACATTTTTGAAATACGCATATCATCTTCAAATTTAACCTGAAATATACAAAATAATAATACAAATATTTGACAATGATTGTAACATATAGATAGAAATCATTGATCGATTAAATAAATAACTAAAGTAAACAAGCATGCTTACGATTTACTAGTGGTAGTAGATGAAAATTAAAATTTCCCTCTCTCCCAAAAGAATAATAGTTTACTGATCTTCTAGTTTGTTTCGCAATTATGATTGGATTCGCTTACAAGCACAACAGTGCACAGGATTTGATAAATTGAAATTTTCAAACTGCCTGAGAACTTTGATACGAGCTATGATAGTTATTGATGAACTAAAAGTTGGCTTCTATACTTTCCTAGTTCCTTGTTATCAGATAATCTGAATGATGCGTTTATTTATCATCAGCAACTTCGTAGGTCTTAATATAAATACTCTAAACCTTACTTATCATGATACTTTGGTTTGAAAATCATCGAGCTTTAATAGAGTTGATAAGAAACTTCTATGAGGCATGTACTGATACGGTTCTGCCAGGTAATATCGCCTTAGAAACTTATGTATAGTCCACAGATGCAAGAAGAGAAGTATAAAATAAACTCTTTACTACCAAATGAGACTTTATCATTCTTATGAAATAGGTAATTCAGATCGTAAGAATACTTAGATAATGGATATCGTACTCTTCTCAAACTAGGACTTATTTTTAACTTCGATAAACTCTCATGTAATTTCAAGTGATCATCGTTTAACTTTGTGAAATATCTCTTTTCACAATTAAATATGTATTCATATTTCTGTCATAAAAATTTGCATCGTTTCATTTCTCAACTGTGTATAATCCTATAACAGTAAGAAGCCTAACCAAATGGTTTTAAAACATGCATAGTTGCTATCTGTCACTTTCTGAGTAGATGTCTCTCATTAATGTCTACATGTACTAATTGTGTGGTTTACGAAAGAAATCCATTTATTCGTTAATATAAAACATGTAGAACAAACGCAATTGAAGACACCGAACAGTGAAAAACGGTGAACTAATCTATTTTATGTTTTACATTTCGATTTACACTTGATTGGATACAGTGAACTTTTATTACATTCGGAAGATCATAACCTTGAGATTGGGCTTCTTTTCTGTGGGACAGAGGACATTAATCGATAGTTATTTGTCCATAATCTCAATGGTATTCTTTCGTCACTAACATATAATTTTCTTTTCTTTTGATTTTGATTTAATAAAAATTTTCAATGAAAATTATCTCTAATATTTCCTCTGAACTAATTATATGTATTAAAACTTTATAACTTACTTTAGTAATATTTTCAAAACATTTTCTTAAATGTGGTTGAACAGCTTTAGGATCTTTAGTTTGTGATAAAATTTGAAGTAATTCATCATCAGATAAGAAATAAAATCTTGGAAATGCCATACGTTTTGTTTCTAAATATTCACTTAAACCTTTTTGTACTTGTTCAAGTAATTTGTTTGCTTCACGTAAATTATCACGTAAACGTGCTTCAGGACACAATGATATAACTTCAGGATTATCTTTAGCTTGTTTCATTACTTTACGCCATATACGTTCCATTGTTTGATATCGTTTTGATTCAACAGGTAATTGTCGAATAATATCTTCTGATGAAAAAATTGGTTCAAGATACTAAATTTAATAGAAAATAAATATTATTTATTTATTTATTTTGAAAACTACAAACCAGCCATGAACGTTGACAGGCAAGCCATTCATCTAAAACTTCTTGTGTAATTTTTAATTTGTTTTCCCATGCAGCTATACGTTCTTCAAATGCTTTTTTAAATGGTGAAAATGACATTGATTGTGTAGCAACAATATGATCATCAAGCATTTGTGATATTTCTTCAGATGTTTTGATAATAAATGTACCCGTTTGTTTATATGGTAAAACATCAAATCGAACAGATTTCCATTCATTTTCCATTTTATCAAGTTGTTGTTCAATAGAAAATTCTTTTGCAGCTTTTTCAGCTACTTTTGATATCATATCAATATATTTTTGTAAACCCATTTCTAAACATTTCGAAAATGTTAATTCTTTCTTTGGTCTTACAGGCATTTTAACCAATTCTGAAAGCTAAAAATTTCAAATTTCATTTTGTTTTACTCAATAATAATTTTAAGAAAAATATCTATTAAACAAACCTCTTCCCAATGACGATTACGCATGCCAGGTGCACGTAATGCTTGTATCAATGGAATTGAAGGTTTAAAATCTTCAATTTGACCTTTAACTGTTAATGCAATCTGTTGAATACCTAATAGAATTAAAAGAAAAATTTTAATATGAACAATTAAGATTTAAATAAATAACGTTTATAATGACAAGATATACGATACAATAATCATGCGGGCTTTACGTTCATGCAGAACAAAAAGTACTAAAGAAAATAGGTTTTTTTTTTCGTAGTAGGTTTTCATTGTACAAGTAGAATATATATGCATATAGAAAAACCTCGCATAGCTTTTACATCAGGATCAGACACCTGAGAAAACCTAAGAAGTCTTGCTGAAAATATCGGGAAATATGATAAAAATAATATTTTTATAAAATCAAGTGTTTTGTTTTTGTTTTGTAATTACCCTCATTGTCTGTGAAGGTTTTGATGGATTTATGCATATTTTTGTACCTAAGATTAAAAATAAAACGTAATGATAATTCAATAAAAACAAGGAAAACATACATTTCAGTGACATTCTTTTCAATATCTTCAGCATTGACAGATATAATTGGATCATTCATCCAACTATCATGTGAACGAAGCCAATCAGATGCTGTTGACCAAAGAACACGATATGGTTCAAAATCTTTAACAAGTTTAGCCAATTTTTCGTACTAAAATTAGTAGAAAATTAATTTTTTTTTCTATTCTTTATTCTAGAATGCACTCACATTAGTTACAGGTAAACCAAGTAAACGTTCACGATTATTATATGTTTGTGCTGCTTCTTGGCATTCTTTAAGAGCTTTATTAAGTTTACGACATTCATTAGCCACTTCATGAGCTCGTTCAATACTTGTATGTGCTGAGAGACCAGCGACAGACATCTAATTTACAAATAAATGAACGTTTTAGAATTGAAAAAAGAAAACATAAATTAATACGAACTGTAAGTTGATCCGTTTTATCATTAAGTGCTGCTGTATCTTGTACTTGTAATTTTTTAAATCTTTCTTCATCTTCTTTATGTTGTTCTTCAACTTGTTCAAGCATCGTTCGAATTTTCCATGACCATGCTGATAGACCATATCTTAAATAATATATAGGGTAATTAAAAAATAAAAATCATAAATTAATCAAATTTTCATATCATACTTCAAAGCAAAATCTTCATTACTTAAATTATAATAAAATTCATCAAGCATTGCAAATTCTTCAAGTACTTTATGTATATCATCCTTAATAGAAAAATAAAAGTATATAGAAAAAAATGAATTAAAGAAAAGAATTTGATTACTTTTTTGTCATCTAATTGTTCTGGTACTGATTTCATCCATTCACGATGTTCAGCTAAATCTTCAGCTGTATTTGCTTTTTCAAATAATTTTCGTTGAATATCCCGAAATGTATCATTCAACTAAAACATAATATACAAATTTAACGTTTTCTACCACATGAACATTATATTAAAAATAACGATATTGAAATTCGATTAGTAGCATGCTAATATTAAGGTATTTCCTAGTTTTTATAAGCTTAACAGTTTATTTAGAGAGTGACGGAATTCGAAACGAACCGAATTTTTTAAGTACAACTTCATTTCAATATCAAAAATCTATCAGCACAATCTCTGCAGGATTATAATGTGAAACAGGATATAGCTGGTATTGCTAATCACATCGAGATTTTACTATTCTATCTATTTTGAGACACATTTCTTCACTAGCATTTTACTTAATCCTCTAGAAATGTAATAAGGAAGTATTTCAAATAGTATAACAAGTCGCTATCGTTATACGGTCATTAAGGGAGAGGTATAACTTTCTATCGTATATACTTCAAAACTTCTTTTAGATCGCGTCTTACAAAAACTATAGATCGGCTCCAGAGAAAGATACTGGAAATGGAACGCAGTGTTTCAGACGAGAAACTCTCGTCCTATAATACTGCGTTCTACTTGTTTTTGAACTCATCGACTTAAATATCTTTAGACGAAAAAAATAGTACTTTGAAGTAGATCGATTTATAACTTTCTGAATATGTTTTTTTCTTTCTCAATAAATAAATTTCATACTTCTTCTGTTCTTGTTCTTGCTTTTCGTGTTTGACTTAATAATAAAGCTTCAATCAATAATTTTCTTTTGTTTGATAAAGCTTCACGTAATTTTTGTGCAAATATATAATAAGGACCAATAACAATTGATACAGGAATATTTTTTTCAAGTTTATCTTTTTCGCGTACATGCATTAAAACTTCATTTCGATATTCTTCAATAGATTTTTCTGTTTTTTCAAATTCTCTACAAAAATAAAAATAAAAACAAAGAATATAAATCATTTAATTCTTGTATTTCATATTGACTAACTTTATATACTGATCAGTATTAAGATTCATTAATGCTACATAAGGTTCATACGCTAAACAAGACAAACATAATAAAAGATTATTTTATCAATAAAATTTTACCTTCAGCATAAGCTTTTAATGGTATAAGTGAGGCTTGAACCGTTTTTTGTAAAGTTTCTTTCCATTCAATAACTTTATTTTCTTGTAAAGCAACTGATTCTAATTTTAACATTTCACCACCCCAAAAAATATTTTCCATTATGTCCTAAATAGATAATAATTCATGATACGAACGAAAAACAAAATCCTTTTTTTTTGTATTTTTTCATACTTTTTCAATTTGTGGTATAGCTTGTGTTTGTACAATAGCACGATCAAATGCTCCCAAAATAATATTTGAAAAATTTTCATATGATGTTATATAGCGTGGACCAACTTGATCAATAGTTATATCCAAATGAAATAATGGATTTTTTGGTGGTCTAAAAGAAAGCAAACATATTTCATCAACAAGATTAAATTTATTTCGATTAATATGTACTTATATGGGCTATTGATTAAGTCATTTTGTGGCCATTTAAAATCTTCTTTCATATTTAAAACAGGTGAACTTGCATCTGCTACCATTCGAACATAATTTTGACATGAATCTTGTACAAGAAATCGAAGTGTATCTTGCATCATAAATTTAACACGTTCGATAAATTTTTTTAATTTTGATACTTGATATATATGAAAATCAGATTCATTTATATTATACCTATAAGAAAGAAACATTGAATATTTGAAATTTAATAATTATTTTATATATTTACCATCCACGTCCAACATCAATAAATTTTGTTTTGATACCTTGTCGAAGATTATTTTTCCATGTATCAGTTAAATACATATGTGTCTAAGCAAAAAAAAGGATCTTTCTTTATATAAAAACGAACGTATATTTTCGAAGAAAATAGTAAGTGAAAGTTTAAATCGAGCTTTTTTGTGACTTATTCCCTATCTAACAGTGGACATTTGATGAAAAACCTATTCTAGCTCTTAAAGAGTTTGGAAAGATAATAGACCTAAAACATGGCGAGATTTCTGTCGTCTTAACGGAAATTATCTTTTGCCAAGGTAAGTAGAAGGACCTGTGGAGTAAATCGTAGAGATCTTGCTCTGTCGTTCTATATAAAAGAATTTGTTCTTGTAGTTTCTCTGTTGAGAAAAGTATGCATGCTTTCTCAACGAAGAGTTTTCGGAAAAAGATGTGTTCAGTGTAGTCGGTGCGTAGACTTTAGTATAGTTCCAAATTCGATGAACCTTTCACAGAATGTTTTTCCCTGTCTGACACGTGTACTCATTTAGCATACAGATGCGCAAAATGTTTCTGGACTGAAATATTTACTTTTGAGTTCTTTTGTTTCAGAAGTAATTAATGAAAAAAATAAGGATATACTTTGAATCAGTACGGAAAACTATATCGAATGATGTAACATTTGTTTCGATTTTTAAAATAAAAAATTTTTTCGATGAAAATTCAGGGTAAGGATCCTCTCGTGCACTTTCAATCGACAAAAATCTTCTTTTACAAGTTTCACTTTTTTCCCATCCATTTTTTTGTTAATTACTAGAAATTAATATATATTTGCGAAGTACATTTTTTAATAGAAACTAGACCATGTTCACTTGTCCTACAGCAATTGCTCATGATGTCTTCTAGGTCCTAGCAACTCGAAGTGCAAAGCGAAACGTCAAATATCAGTGGATACGTGTTCCTACACAACAGGAAAAGGCACATCTGTAATAATAGTGTTTAGATCATTCTGGATCTTTCTAGAATCTTTCAAAGTATTCTATGAATATAAGATTTCTACTATAGATTCTCACTGGTCTAAATATTTTGGCCTTCGGTATTTTTTATGTAACGAAAAGGTCTTATTGTGGATGTCAATCAGTGGGACAATAGTATTATTGGTCTAGCAAAGTCAGAATAGAACGGGCATAGAAAAGTATGAACTGATTGAATTCTAATTTTAGGCGAAAAATGTTTGATGAATTGATGAAATAGGAATTCTAAATGCGAACATTTTCGAAATGATAAAATTTCACCGTACATATGGCATGGAATCCTTTCTGGAATAGATTATTTTAATCTCTCTGACAGAATACATCATACATTTATAATAGTCAGAGTTTGTGGTATTTTATACTTTGATACCTCATAGGACTGTACTGACAAGTTTCTTTATAAACAATTTCATAAACTTACAGTTGATGTTTGATTGAATTGCATACTTTCAAATTCATCAAGTTTAACATGTTTTGGAATAGTTTTTTGTAATAAGCTTAAATTATTAATAACATAATCACATTCAGTTCGAACAAGTTTTAATGCATCAATAGCTGGTTTTGATGTTAATAATGAAATAAACTAAAACAAAAACAAAATTGAAATAAATAAATAAATAGATAAATGATAATTATATTTAACACACTTTGAATTGATCAAAAACTTCATTAAATGAATATTCAGGTATATCAACACAAGCAGTATGAGGTACAACTCGACGTTGTTTTATTGGTAATGTTATAAATGCAAATGATACTGGATCTGATTGAGTAACTTCTTCAAATATCATTGAATTCATTGTACGGGCATAATCCAGATTTACTTCTTCAACTATTGGTGTTACATATTCATCTTTACTTTAAAGAATCGAAATCAAAGCACAAAGATTTAAAATTGAATAGATTAACACACGATAGAATACATACACTGTTTTTGATATAGCACTTGTTTTAGTTAATTCAATCATTCGTTTTATACGTTCATCATCAAGTTTACCAATACCATCAACTGGCATACAATCAATAAACAATGCCGAACGAAGTTCAGCTTCAGTACGTTTTCGATCACGATATGCTTTAGCAACACGATCAGCAAATATACGTGGATCTTCAGCAAGAAAATATAATTGAACACGTGGCACCCAATAACGACCATGACTACCACGTGAACGATGACTACCATGACCTACAGTGAAACAATAAATGATTGTTTCGAGACAAGAAAAAGCTTCATTCAGTCAGCTGTATTCAGAAGTTCGATCAGAGTAAAAATCGAAATCTGACATAATACAGGCAAATTAACTAAAACAAGATATGATTATCATCAATTTGATTTTTATTCTTTATAAGAGTTATTTTCTGAACAAGTTCTTTGACTATGAATATATGTAAAACTATTGACTGTTTTAGTTTACATCTAATTAAACTTAGTTAAAACGTAATTAGCAAATAATACTGTGACCTCATGACAAAAAAAAGTTCAAGAATTTCAAAAATAGACTCTATCCCATAGACTAAATCTGTGGGCAAATTCTGTTCAAGATCGAAATACGAAAAGTTGTCTCCCCAAAACTGATCTTCCTAACGCTGGATTTTCAATAATAACTCGATCGAACAAAGGTCTACAGACCTGAGTTTTTCAGGATATCTAGAGTAACTCTACATACATATTCTACATGAAAATTAGTGAAAATCAATGGCCGAGCTCAGAGATATATGAATTGCATCGCTAACCAATGGCATTGGCCATATACATCTTTTCGTATGGTCCAACAAAGATAAATCATCTACCGAATGAAAAAAAAATTTCACTGCAAATTATGCCACTCTGATTAAGCATTCGGATAAAATACTAGCTTACATGAAAAACTAGAAAAAAAAGTATTTAATTAAGTTTTTGTTTTTAAACTAACCATTTGAGGTTGAATTATCTGATCTTTGTCGTTTCTCTTCAATGTCTTCTATTTGTTTACGACTTTTTTTTGCTGGTCGATACATATCAAAAACATCATGTTCTCTATCATCAGTTGTTATAAGCCATAATTGTTTTTCAGTATCATAATCATGAATACTAACATTTCTCCAATTAAAATGTAAACTACTATCTTTTATATCATCTAAAATTTTAATAAAAACTTATAATACATTCAAGAAAACGACCATTACATACTAATTTCAGACGCTGGTACATCAGGTAAAAGTGCAATACCAGGTAATGGTTTATTTAAACCAGTCAATGGATCATGACCTAAAGTAAGCCATGCTTGTGGTGTCCAAATTTCAAAATCAGTATCATCAAAATAATGTAATGGTAAAAATGGATCAAATGGTGCTGGATCCTACATGTACATCAAAATTCGATTTAATGTTATAGATTAAAAAGAGAAAAAAAAAACAATATATTACTTCATTTGGAATATTTAATGTAACAATTTGATCAGCTGGTACATATTTAGGCATAAGTTTATTTGTATCAATATTTCGTTCTTGAAGTAATGTTGGTAAATCAAGTGAAAGATAAAGACGTTTTCGTCTATAATAGTTCAAACAATGAAAAACAAAAATAAATGAATTCTACATATATTTAATTTAAATCTACCGTTCAATTTCAACTTTTCTTGGTAATGTATATGGTGCCGTATAAAATGGCATAAATACTTTTGGTTCAATAGTTTTTTCCAAATATACATCACTACGTTTAAATTCTGTAGTAAATTCTCCTTGTTTACTATTAGCTAATAATTGTGCAATATCAATTCCTTGTAAATCGAATACACTTGCTAAAGTTTCAATTAGAAAAAAAACACCATGATTTTCTAGATTATTTAATTTAAAATTTGCAAAAAAGAACGTACCTCGTGCTGTATTTGATAAACGAAATGTTTCACGTAAAACATCATCATGTGCAATAGGTACTTGTTTAGCAACCTAAATTTCTTATGTAAAAATTTTATTTTAAAAATTTATTTAATTTTACTTCAAATTTTGAATCAGGATTAATTGTTGCTAATTCAGAATAATATCCACGTTCTTTAACTTCTCGATTGGAAGAAATTTTATCAGTTCCATTATCATTTTGATTTACATTGTTATGTAAATGTGATGAGCGAGTCGAACGATATCCCTTCTCATGAGGCATCGTTGAAATCTACAATATTACAAAATGTTTTTTTCTTTCTCGATTTCTACGTTGTTCACTACGAAATATTCTTCTTTTTTCTTGTTGATTCTATGCAGACATTAACGTTTATATGTAAATTATGTTGTCATAGAAATGTTCTTTTTTCTTTCTTTTTCTTTCAATGATCAAAGATGTCAGTAGTGCAAGAGATTTTACAAAAAATTATTTTAGTTAACCCTTTCGAGAAATATTTAAAGGTTGATTTTAGTATTGTTTTTCAAAGTACTATGCATTATTAATAATGCATCGATGCCTTCAATTAAAATAGGTCACGGAGATAGAATTTGAGAAAAGTTTTTGAGAAATCTTTAATGGCTACTTAATATATGTGCAACACATTCGATTGCTGTCGTTGAGTGTATTTATATGATTCTGGATGGTAGATTGCTTGAGAGCCTGGAATGTCCAGGATATTGCGCATAGGTCACAAAGCAATATTGATTTGAGGGAGGCTCGAAAAAATGGAGTAGTGCTTCACTTTTGACATGTTTTAGTTTTTCTAGGAACCATTGAGAACAGTAACAGATTTAGGAGAAAGAGGAAGCGAAGAAACGGTCTCTCGCTTTCCGGAAATTTTCTTTCAATTGCCCTCGTTTCTTCCAAAATCGTATATCCATTACTGACGTAGAATTATTGTTAACATTTTTTGTTTAACGTCATAACAAATAGAACCTTTACAATAGAGTGTCAAATAGAATAATCTTAAATGTTTATCAAATCTTAATCGCTTTTCAAGAAAAAATATGAATAGCTCAGTCTTGAAACAGCTACGAGCTACTCGGCAAAGCTTTTGATTGCTGTGTAATAAGCAGAATAAGCTTCAGTAGGGACTTATATACGAAAAGACTTTAAGCAAGATTTCTTCACCTATCCAACGTTGCAATATTGCCAAACTTCCTAATGTCATGTAAGACCTTGGTTGAAAAAAAAAGGAATTATTAAGTTTTGTTCATGTCCTTACCCTTTGTGTTGTTCTCCAACATAAGCGTAGGCTGATCTTAGAATTTGCAATTGTCGTCTAAGATATATTCAAAGTTTCACTTTCTTCGTAACATAAAAAAGACATTTATTCAACTTTTTTTTAATACTGTCGGAGATTGCCTGTCAAACGGCATAAACTGAGTTCAGCCTCTGCAAGGTTAAGAACTCCGCTGTTTATGGATCAAGGTGTCTCAAAAAATACTGTTGTTTAGATGTACCGTCTAATATCTGGCTAAACTTAACTTTCAGAAAAATGCCAGATAACTCTTGTTCAAAGAGTTTTCGCTCACTAAATGTAATGTCAGGGTGAAATCAATAAAGTTTTTTCAAATATCTAAGCATGATAGATTAATAAAAAAAAGGAACAAAATTTCTTTTCTGTATAGTCGATGAACATTAAGAAAGGATATGATGTAATTCCTATTCAATTTCTAAAACAATTTCTGATGACTAATGAATAATCGTTCTGTAAGATTTTATTTCGAACAACAACAAAAAAAAAGCAAAATGGTGAATCATGTCAAGTCTTGATGAAAATTAATCGATGAAAACTAAAATTTTCGTGAAATAAAGAGAAAAAATTTCTGGTATACTTAAATCAATTCATTTATAAATGTGAAAACAACAAGTCGAAATGTTCATATGCAAATGAAAATGGAACTATTTTTTCATNTGCGCCGGACTCCGAAACCCGATTCTGATTTCGACTCCGGCGGAGATTGAGTGTTTAAAGGGAATTTTTTTCGGAGTTAATGTCTGAGTTATATTAGTACAACAGTGAAATAGTTTGAATCTTATTTGGAGGGTGTGGGTGGCTGTAGGGTATGGCTGTGGGCGAATAGCAGACCCACACCCGTCCCGCCCTCACACCTCCCACCCCCCCCCCCACCCACACCCCACATCCATCCCCACCCACCCCCACATACGATGTCGTTGTCGGCCGTCGTAATACTTGATTTCAACCAATAGAGTTTTAAACTACTCAATTTTAATATCTATTGCAGCATGATCCTATATAGCTAAATTCGAATTGGGTGGCAAAGAAACAGTAGGATTAGTCTAAGCGCAACTTTGCATTCTCCATTCTAAAGTAATCAATATCGAAAGTTGATTGGTGAGTACTACAGTTCAAACCAGTCGAATGAGCCACCGTTGTTGCTGAAAACTTCAGCGGATACAAAACAAGATACTTACTGTAACGGCTTTTCTATTTTTGTGCTTGCTACTTTCGTTTATTTAGCATTCAATCACCTCTCTCTTTATTTTCTTTCTTGTGTCACGTTCCGCTTTCGCGACGGAGGAAGACAACGACGAAAAGATCATATATAATTGGTGATTACGTATTTAAGAGCGATACGATACGATTGGTCACCTAGAAAAATATACTTTCATAGGCGGCAAAAAAAACGATGAAATGATTTGCAATTACTAGAGTAAGTCGAGTCACTAACACTATATTGTTGGTGTTAAGCAATAATAGGGTAAGAGCATGCCATTAAGTTTTGACGATAACGATAGAACAGATTAGCACCTTCATCGATTTGAAAATAATCAGAGTTTATTTAATTCTTATCTCGATTTTTATGCACTTTCTTATATTTTCGTCATGCATACATTAATAGATAATATATTTCAAAATACAAAACATATTAAAATAAAATCAATTTTTAAGACTGAAAACCGTTGTCTTACGAATGTAGTCAAATAATGGAGGTCGAGTTTGTAGATGACAATATCGAAGCAGACAAAAATATAAATCACTCACTGTTGCATTTTTCTGCGTTAAGTACTCGTAAACTGCAGACAATGATGTGATTAAGTTTTTATCACCATAGGCTGCATATATAAGTGGACGTGTAGCGACAGAAGCAGCCATCAGTTGAATAATTGCTAAAATTTGATGATTATAATATATGATATTTTCCGTAGATCAACCGATACCTTTCAGTTGTTTATCGCCATGAAAAGCTCCACAACCCCAGTTTCCAGTAGCAATACCAAATTTATAATCGGCTTCATCTTCTCTCGGGCGAAAACCCGTGTAAGCTTTCAGTAATTCACGTTCGACAAGTTTCATATCGTATTGGTCTGATGGATTACGAAAATAGACCGCATCCATAGCTATTACATGACACCATTTTCGACCCCAACCATCTCTAAAAGAAAAATGTCAGCTTGATAAAGAATTATAAAGACAAGAGTCTTCACTCTACTATCGACTTCTATTCTAGCAAAAAGTTACATCGAATAGTCAAACTTTTCGTTGAAATCAAGTCTAATGAGAGAATATTAGTTCGATATCTGCAGTAAATTCAACTGATATTCTATCAGCATACCTGCTTTGTAAACTGTTCATGGCTTACTCAGACCTAATGATTTACGATGTTCCTTTGTGAGAGAAAAAATGGATTCTGTCTTCGTTTTTAATATGATTAATTAGGAACGAGATGAGTGTTGATTTATTTGAAATCTCATCTCATACCTAGGTGTATTATCTTGATAATCTCCAGCGTATTCAAATGAATCGGCATAGCCTTTGTATGATGAATATCGTTCACAGCCAATAAGAAAGATGCATTCATTTTTGTCCATCACTTCACAAACAAGTAAACTAACTAGCATTTCAGGGCAGATAGTGAAACGAATTTCTTCTTGTACACAGCCGCCACCTAAGACGCCACCTCCCTAATTTGTATAATATATATTATTACCAAAACAAAAGTAATGATTGCGTCTTAAATTCTTACAATATATTTATTGGCAAAATCAACCTAATAAAATAGATCCATCGAAACAAACTAAAGTTATTCGTTTAATTTACCTGTAATACGTTCTTGATATCTTCAATTTTTTTACCTGTTGTCATGCTCAGATCACAGAGACCTATGTTTAGTTCATGCCACGATGGAAAACGATCTTTAGGCAATGAAACACGTTGAAAAGTTATTACACCATTTGGCACTAAAAACAGAAGCATTAAAGTGTATGAGACAAACTTATGATATACGTACTATTTTCTGTAACACGATTAAAATAATGTAAAATACATTTGAGTTTTTCGAGTTTGTTTTGACGTACATCTCGATATAATCTATAAGATCGATAATAATTTTTTGAACAAAGACTCCTTATAAAATCCTAGAATTATTTACGTTTCAAAATTTGGATCTTGAAAATGTTCATATTCCTTTGTTGGTGACGGATAAGAACGATAAGGAAATAAACAGAAAAATGCACAAGCTAACAATGCTGCAGCTTGTTCTTGTGACATAGTAACTGAACGATTTGTTGCAATTTTTAATAAAGGTGGTGACTGAAAATTACAAAATTTGCAAGCTCATTGTTAATAGATGATATTTATGCATATATACCTGAGTGATAACTACATGCAGGTTCAATGCAAGGTTACAAATCTTAGGGAGAGTATCATGCATAAAATGAGCACGTTTATCATTAGAATATACCTCCAAATAATAATGAATTAATGCAATGAATAAAATGAAAAAGAACTAACTTTTGTAATCAGATTTTCTAAACATTTCAGATCAAATGTACGTTCGTTAATGTTTTCAATCGTGTCCTAGTATAGTGTTTCGTTTATTCGAATGAAATTAAACGAAAGAGTTTAAATGATTACTTTTAAATCTTTAAATTTGACTGTATGATTTTCGCATTTTTTTTGGAGAGAAGTCAAATGCTGAGAAATAATAGGCCAAATAAGTTGTCCATTTTTCTTTAACAATAGAAAATAAGATAAAATGCTGGAAAGAATTTTCCTAACTAACATATGCATAATGTTTTGAGCAAGGCATACGAACATGATCTTCGTCCCAATAATCATAATCAGTATATGAACCTTTGATAGGCATTGGTTTGATATCAGGTCGATTCTCATTAAATTTCCATGGCTATACAACAATAAACAATTAGCTTTAAAATACTTTAAGTTACTTTAATAATAGAAATGAAGTTTTTGTCACGTATGTCTTCCATAGGTATTACAATTAGTGGTCGACACAATCTATTAATAATTGCATCAATTGATTTGCCCTAGAATAGATTACATAGAAGAGAGGAAAAGGAACATCGATTTCACTTTTTCTATTATTTCACCAGGTTTGACTCCATCAGTAAAATCTTTAGACATTGCTATATCTATATAATTCAATCGAGTATAGTTATAAAAATGATTTTTTGAGCAAGATAATTTAATAAAAAGAGTACAAAAACAAGACTTACCTTCTTCTTTAGTTGCTTCCATATCATGTTGTCCTCTTTGTTGTGAAACGACTGATTGGTTTGCACGGATTTGAACGGATGAACGTGGGGATTGAGAAGAAGAAGATCCTACATCACTGAAACGCTGACCCAAACGATTAGGACGTACATCAGCGCCAGGTCTCAAATTACCATCGATTTCTAAAATTGACAAAATGGAAGATATGCGATGAATTCGAGGGTTGAAAAAGATTTAAGCAGTCGAAAAAATTCGTGATAGTACAAAATTTATTATATACCACAATGAACATTGCTTTAAATGAAATAAGTCATTTTTTTTTGAAAATGAAATTTGTTTTTGAAATGACGCCATCTACTGTGGATCTTATGGCACAATTTTATTCATAGGTTGCAAGCACTCATTTGATCTTTTTTATTGAGACATTATTTAGGAAGAAATCTTTAGATTCGAAAGTAAAGCAATGCATTCATTCAGTCCACGTCCACTAAAGGTATTCAAATCAATGGCCAAGACTAAGGCATGAATGTGGATAATAAAAGTGATTACATTAATCCATCTTCATTTACACACCACATACGCACATTCTGGAAGAGACTAATTACTGTGATCTTCACGAGTTATTTATAGAGATGTGAATTCGTAAGATGCCGGATAGCCGGTATACATCGCTAGTCTTAATATCTTTTGTTTTGAAAACGAGCGCACCGCTTTAAAGACTTGGATGTGAACTTGAACAAGTCTCAAGTCGGTAAACAGCAGAAAAAACAAAATTGTCAGCCTTGAGTAAAAAGAGGATGAAAAACCTAGAGTACATCTTATGGTCTGTGAAGTTCCGAAGAAAAAAAATAGGAATAAAGATTCATTATGTTTAATACATAATATCGGGTGTCCCAGGAATAATGAGCCTCCCAGTATTTTTAAGATTTCCTGTCTATTATCACTGTAAGTAAAGCTGTCTTAATTATCAAAAGAAAGCGCTTAAAATTCTCTACAAAANAAGAAAAAAACGAGGAGTATACGGAGAAAGCAAAAAAAAGTGAAGATAATTGTGCCATTCGACTACAAAACACACACGCACACATACAAACAACTGTTTGCAAGAAAAGATACAAATATGCTTAGAGATAAAAGAACAAAAAAAAAAATTCTAATAATCAATTTTATCGTAAAAGAAGATTATAAACAAAAAAAACGAACTCTCTCATGCACAATGAAAGAGAGAGAGAGAGAGACACAAGAGAACAGTACATAAAAACGAAAAACGCCTATGTATTTCATATATTGAACAAAAAAAAAAAAAAACAAAAAGAAAAATTAAATGTCATTTGAAATATAATTATTAATTAAGACAAAAGAAAAAAAAAGTCAGATAATTATATAGAAGAATAGAAAGAAAAAAAAATACTTTTTCTTTTTTCCCGTTTATTTCTTTTTTCTTCTTCATTTTATTAGTTGCACATGAATAATCTCTCTTTCTTTTTTTTTTTAATTAAACAGGTACACTTCCAATCATAACTTTCGATACAAAATTAACAATAGCTGTTGATGGTTGTGTTCGATCGATTTCAGCAAATATATGACATTCATTTTCTGCTTGAGCCGATCGATTATTTCCATTGATTTTCTTTGAAACGAAACCAAAACATCTATAGAAAAGAAGAAAAAAAATGAAGAAATTAAAATTGTAATTTAATAATAGAATATAAGTCTATATTTTGGTTATTTTTTTTTTCTTTTACTTTGCTTTTGGTAACATTTCAAGATCAGGAAATTGATGTGTCCAATAACGATCTGTTTCATAGTCAACACCACAATATGTGACATATTCTTTAGGAAAATGACGTCGTGAAAATAATCTAAATAATCCGACATCCCCTTAAAGGATTTATCATGAACAAAAAAAAATATTTTCTTTTACTTTTTCTTTGTATCAGTTAATGTTATACCAGTATTTGAAACTTTAAAATGAACAATTGTTGCTTGTAAACGATCAGCATTTTCAAATGTTGAACGTAATGCTTTATTTACGGCCATTTGACCAGATAATGATTCAACATCAACATTATTTAAATAGACAACATTACAAGCTGAGATTTATTGAAAAAATAAATAAATAAATAAATAAATAAATAAAAGTTTTTTTTTTATTTCGAAATTTTACCAGCTCCTTTTTCAAGTAAATCTTTTACAGACATTTTTTTTAATGTTTCTTGTTGTTGTTGTTGTTGATTTCCTGTTGAACGATAATCTTCAGTTATATCCGCAGTCGGTAAAACTAATTTTATTGGCAAGGCAAGTGGCGTTATTGAATGTTGATAGACTAAAGCTGATAGATTGACTAAAAACAAAAATAAAAACGTCAATCATATTGAATAGTAAGTTTTTTAAGAGATACAAATTAGACTAGTTGATCAATTTCTTTCTGTTGATCATTGATTGCAAGATAGGAGATTTTTGAATATATTTTTTTATAATAAACTTGACATAGATATACGATAAAGATCTACGATTATTACTATTGAAAAACAAAGCAGACACCAAACACGTCGGTTTATGTGAAAACAATACATGCTAGTAATTTTTAAATAGAATATGTAGATTCCCGAGTATTTCATTCTTTCAATGCCTTAAAATCCTTTTTTATCTCTGGATTAGTTTAGTTTTTTCAAGCAAGACAATCTTCAAAACTTATACTATTTAATACGACTAGAAGTATTAGATTAGTATTAGTATTAAAAAATGCTGATTTCTATGCATTAATATTGAAATTCAGTCTAATGTTTTAGTATTATTTCGCAGTAGAATTAATTGATAATAAGTCGTTATCATTAAATTAAATTAATTTTTATCTTTTAATAGACATCAAGTGACTGGCTAAATTATCCAACTAAGTGGAAACTTCTTTTTTGTTCTTTATAGATCTCAAAAACTAATTGAACTAGAATAACCTGACTGTCATCAAATAATAGTTCATAGATATACTAGTAAAAAGTTTCCAGGTCAATCTATTGATCTGTTTAATTTTTATTGATGATTCAATCGTAACGCAATCATTTTTTATTCTTTGAAAAATATCTACCTACTTTTCATTTTCAAACAATTGCGTATCTATTCTAAATTGAAATTTTTCTTTTTGTGATACATGATTCAATAGAACAAATTGTGCTCGACCTAAAATATACTTTTTATCTTTGTTGTTTTTTAAGTATGAATTACAAAACAAGGTCTTTTTGACCTATACAGAAAATTTTCAATGTTTTGCCTATCATATGATGTTTAGTCGATTCTATTGTTTAATACTGCATTAACAAGAACATTGTAAATTGCATGGATTATTCTGTTTGAATAGATATTCCATGTTGAAAAATGATATTGGTCGTGTTCTGTAAATGCACCAATCAAAAATAAACCTTTTTATAGCGTGTCATTCACACATTGAAAGAAGTATAGAAATTTGTTTTCACGAGTTGGATTAGTAGAAAAGGTTTTTTTCTTTTTTGTTTTTGTAAGACTCACTACGGTAAGCTTTTTAATATTGCTATTTATGGCAAACCGGAATTTGGACAACCGGAATTTTGCGATCTGATTTTTGACGATTGGCTCAATTTCCGGAGGACTTTTAACAATAAAAAGATTGTCAAAATTGTAGCAGGAAATTAGACAAATTGTCGAAGTTATAGAGTTTCACCGATATTCTTGCTTCATTCCACTGTAGCTCATCTGTAAACTGAATGTTCAACAATCTTTGGTATTGTGGAGGCTAGTGAGCATTGAAGAAATTATCGAAATTCTATAGAACGGATATATCTATTCAAATAGAATTGTTCATTCAATTTGTAGTGCTCTTGGTAATGCTATATTAAGCAATAAATTTGTCTAAACATCATATGAAAAAAAAAGTCTTTTGTTGCCTTGTTGTTGAATATATCCTGAATAAGTCAAGAAAATCTTGTTTTCTGACTTATACTCAAAGAACAACAAAAATAAGAAGTACTTCCTATATAGAGCACAATTTGTTCTATTAAAACATATATCATATAAAAAATTTCAACATCCAAACAGGTACGCAATAGTTCTAAAAAGAAAAGTAGTTAGATAATTTTGGAAGAATTAAAAATGATGTACTGCGATCGTATCGTCAATAATAATTCAACACATTAATGGAATTGACCTGGAATATGTTTTTACTAGTATACTAAAAATCACTACGCTGTAATCTGATGAAAATCCAGTCATTCTAGATAATTTTGGCAGCCACTGTATATATATATATATATATACTATTTTTGACTAGGTTTCAAAAAATTCAAGCTCGAAAGTTTCTCATATCACAATAGCTTTGTTCTATTTTAAAAAAGAATTCTTTAAAGTCAAAATATAATTTCTCTAGTTTTGAAAATGTTTGTTCTTGAACAATTCGATATTTAGTCACAAATAGAATATATATTAAAAAATAAAAATAATTGTAACTTAATGGTAAAACCTTTGTAATAATTAATTCTAATGCAAAATAATACGAGAGCATTCAGTTGAATTTCAACATAAATTCTTAACGAACGGATATGTTATAAATAATAGTTTCATTCTTATTATATAATTTAACCTTCTTGTCTAAGTTGTATTGGATCAAAAAAAATTTTTTTAACAAAAAAGATTATATTTCAATTATTTACAAAACGATTATATTTCAATGAACGAATATGATCGCACTTAATTTATAACACTAGATATTAAAATGCTAAAATAAATTATAACAATTTCAGAAAATTGTCGTAACTTAGATATTTATCAGTAGATAAGATACACCTTTTCAACTCTAATAGAATTTGTATCACGCATAACACATGTCAAACTTGAAAGTTGATGGCAGTTACTCAAGAATTAAAAAACATTTGCTCGCATAATTTGCCTTATATCTGCGTCACAGTGTAGGCGTGCGTTGCACCCTCTAAAGAGCCCGGCGACCCATATTTGTCTTTGTGTACGCAGTAAAGTCTGTCCTTCTTTTTATATTTTGACACTCCAACAAAGTACGCATAGGTTAGGACCTATAGAAAGGAAAACGATAAACCAGATGGACTCATCTTTATATCTTTCGCATCCGATACTCCTTATACACTCTATGCACTCTATACACTCAATATACCCTATACACGTCTCGTTCTGATACAAACTCTATTGAAGTCGAAAAGGCTCACTGACTCATATTTACATCAAGTTTTATAGCTAAAACGCAAGTATATTGGTTCATTGAACTATATCATTTTGTAGATAATATTCGGGTAAAAAATGTAATTCGATATGACTTGAACAAGACGACAAATCTACAAAACAAGGATAATGCTATAATTTTTATTGCACATCCGTTGTTGTGAATAATGTTCATTAATTCTAATTCGACTAATCAATGTTATCATAGAGTATAAATCAATTAACTTAGTGAATTTAATGTTTTACATGAGATTTTTTCAATAATGTATTCATCTGAATCAAATGATTGAAAAAATAATTATTTAGACATCTTTATAATTTATGTTAGACAGTAATCTTCGATCTTATCTTTATATGAACATACTCATATTGAACAATGATTATTTGAAAATAAAAAAGAAGATTCATACCAAAATCAGGTTCATTTGGACATCCTTTCAAACGAACATGTCCAGTTGGTGTTCGTTCAATAAGATAATGTCGAACAAGTTCAGCATTTGGATCAGCTCCTAAATTACCAAAAGCATTCAGTTTTCAATCTATTTAAAATCAACTAATAAACCTTGTTTTGCTTGAATGCCTGCTGGTAATGTTTCGACTTTAATTGCAAGACCATATGAACCTGGAAAACCTTGACTATCTCGAATAAGAAATGTTCCAGGTGGTTTTGTTTTAAGTAAATTAATTGCTATTTAACAAAAAAGAAAAAACAAAAATTAAAACAATACAATATTTTTCAATACATACCATCTTCACGTGACATTTTTTCTTTATACCAATAATGACTAACATTATGTGCTTGATAAGCACCATTACGAACTACATCAGATTCTAAGAAGAAAATAAAAGAAAAATTCAATAACTTTTATCACGCAATACGTCAAGGTTAATGAATTATTTCTATTAAATATTGATAAAAGTAAAATAATCTACATGAACAATAAAAATATATCCTCATGAGATTAATATGATAAAAGAATTCTTCAAATTTATGCTTAATATTAAAATAATTTATAATAAGATAATAGTTTACCTGCAGCAGATGAAACACTTGAACGTCGTGAATTTTCTTCTTGATTTCGAAATGAACTAAAACAATAGAATTTAAATTTAAAATAAAAAACCCAACTATCAAACACTTTATTTTTACCTATTGCCTACACGCGTTTGAAGATTTTGATTATCTAAAAATGTTTTCATTGCAAAAGAAATTTTATACGTATATATATTTAATTGAATACATACAAGTTTGAGTAGTTATTGGAAACGTTGGTGTTGATGGTGTTTTACTTGTTGTTTGATGATCACCACGATCAGCATTTACATTTGGTATCTATTAAAATAGAAATAAAATTTAATTAAAATCTCTTTGTAAACAAACAAACAAAAAAGAAAATTGGGTTTTTTCCAGGGTAACGTGCATGAGAGACACAAATGATTTCTCTTACAATCTCTGCTGTAGTCGAAAATATTTGTGGTTTTGTTGTATTTGAATCATTCGATACAGGTAATATTGTTGTTTCGATAATAGTACATTGTGGTCTCGATGGTCTTTTAATAGTATGATCATCAGAAAATTTTCTTTTTAATTCTGGTGATGCTGGTATTTGTTGTTTATTATTACTTGGTGGATTAGATAAACCAACTGAACCTGGAAAAAAATTTGGTAATATTGAACTATCTTTTTTCATTGTTTCCGATTGTTGTTTAACTTCTATTGATGCTGACGCTGATGATGGTAATGTATTTATCGTCTAGATTATAAATGGAATGTCATTTTTCTTTGAATGGTTTTTTTTATGTCAAACATTCCATGCGATTGATGTTTTACATGCAAAATACGATATATGCGAAGGAATGAAAGGACTATTAACAAAACTGAATATATACATATGTTTTTTCCTTACCCTTTTTTGTTGAGTTTTATTTGTTATTAGTATTTGTTGATCAGGAAAACGTGACATTGTTGCTGATGTATCTTGCGTAAAAACAGGTATTGATGTTGAACGTAATTGATCTTGTGAACGATAACGTTGATTATTATCAATAAATCGTTGTTGTTGTTGTTGTTGCTGTTGTTGTTGAGATGTAGTTCTTGCCATTGACTGTTTACCAACCCATCCACTATCACCATATTGTATGTCAATAGGTACTTGTTGACGAGAATAATTTTGTTGTCGTATATGCATTCCTGAATCAGTTTCATAACCACTTATGTTTTCTGTTCGACTACGTAATGTATTTGTGTTTGCTTCATTAAGAAACGAACTACCACGCAAATTTGTTGGTACACTATTTAAATTTGATGACGATACCATTCTATTATTAACAACTAATGTTTCAGGTATAGCTGCCATACGTGGTGGTAAAGTGCGTGTCATACGTAATCGACCACTACTAATTAAACCTGTATCTGTATCATAACCATCTGGCCGTAACATTGAACGTTGTCCACCACCACCAGAACTACTTGCTGCATAACTTTCATGATGACGTTCACGTACAAACTGTGCTGGTTGATGAGCATAATATGAATGATGCATCGGTGGAGGTACATGTTGGGGCGGTGGTGGTGGTGGAGGACCACCATAATATCTAGGACCATAATTACGAGATGTTACAACACCTGTATCAGTTTCGTATCCTGAATAATCATGACCACGTACACGTATACCACTTGTTGGTAATGTTGAGCGTGAATAATGATAATATTCAGTTGGATGTCCATCAATATATGTACGTGAAGGTGAACGAACTAAATCCATACGACGTAATTCAATTGGTCCATCTGGTGCTGGTTCGGATGTTGCACGAAAATGTGTCGGAATGGCTGTAGTTGATGCTGATGTAACTGTTGTTGTATAACCATCTGATTAGAGAAAGACACAAAACGATTCATCAACTTTCGAAAGAATAAACTTTTTTTCTTTGTTTTTACCTCGATTATCTTGTCGACTATAAGGTCTCCTTGATGATAATGTACTTGTTGGACTATCAGTTCGTACAAGTTTTATTGGAAATCGTCCACGCATCGGATCCATCTAGATATGAAATTTTTCGATTTTTTACTTTTGTTTGATTTCAATGAATGTTTTGTTCGAGATAAAAATCATTTTCTTATTAATATAAATTTAAAAAAAATTATAAACTAATGATTTTCTATTTCTTTCTTTCGATCTCCTTTTTCTTTTTTTAATCTATCTTGTTTTTCTTTCTCTTGGTGGCTATCATCATTATAATGCTTGATGTTCTTGGTAATCTATCTTTACGTAATATCATTTTGTCTTGCTGTGTGCTCTATATAGATAATCGATGGATCGTCTTAGCTTTCCTTCAACTGCCTTATTTGACATTGAGATTGAGAAATGACGAATGTTATTTTATCGATATTCGTCTATTATTACTAATCAATTTCAATCTTTCATCTTTTTCTTTTTGATATCAAAAAATGTTCTGACTAATCAAGCGAAACTTCATATCATTAAAACACAATTAAAGTGTGACCAATAATTATATCAACACTAAATTTACTTACCCGATGAACCGAATCTGTATAAGCAGCACTTGAACTATATGTTCGACGATTATTTATTGGTTGTTGATGTTGTATTGGTATATCAGTTGTCCATGTTGTTTGATGTATTGGTTGTTGTTGTGAACGTTTTTTTAGAGTATTTTGAACACTTTCTAATAACGAATCAATAAGTTGTTCATCAATTGATAATTGATCACGTGATGATGCTGTTTGAACTGGTTTATTCGTTGTTGTTGTGGTTGTTGTTTTCATTGATGAACTTGTTATTGGTATTTCTGTACCATCACTAAGACTAGCACTAGCACTAGCACTAGCACCACCACCACCACCACCACGTTTTATACGTATGCGTTCTTCACGTGTAGTTTTTACACGTTGTTCTTCACGTTGTACACCACTAGATGATAGTGATGAGCCATCAATAAGACCACTAACTGTATTAGCATCAAAATCATTACGTTTTTGATTATTTAATGTTGATGCTTGTGTATATGATGAAGCTCGAAGAGATGAAGGTAATTTTGAATTTGATATTTCATTATTATCATTATTTGATTGACGATAATAAGACTGTGATGAAGATGATGTTGAATATTTATTATTATTATTAGTTGTATTATTATTGTTACTACTACTACGATTAGTTGTATTTGTACCAATTGGTCGATTTACTTCTTGAAGTAAATCTTTAACAAGATCATCAAGTTGGTCAACATCAGATTTTAATTTTGATGATTGTGGTAAAGACATGCTTTCGTTTGAAGGATTAAATGAGACAGGCAGCGAAATGCCGCCGTCACTAATTTTACTGACACCGATATTCGTGTTAGGTAAAGAAGGAAGACGTGTTAGTGGTATTGAAGAAGAAAAAGAAGACGATGACGCACTAGTTATTTGTACAGGCAAACTAGTAGATGTTTGGTTTGTTTCGAATGGTAAGGAAGAAGAAGGAGTAGAAGAAAATGTAGTAGCGTTTGTAGTTGTACTAGTAGCGTTGTTATAATGATTGACTTGCACGTTTTTGTACATAGTCTAGAAGAGAAAAAGAAGAAAAAAAAGTCAAAGAACAACATAACTTCTGAGTTGATGCCACAGTAGCATTCATCGGAGGAACGTAACAGAATAATAAAAAAAAGAACGATGTAAAAAAAGAACGAAAGAAAAGAAAAGTAAGACCGGCACTTCTTGCGAAAGAAGAAGACGGATAGTGGAACTAGTAGGATCTATTTTTCTATCTTTCTATAGTGGTACCGTTTCTGTTACAACAATCGTTTCTTTTTCTCTCGGTTTTTTTCTTCTTTCTCTTCTGTTGATTCGTGCCTACAATTTTTACGTAACCCTTTTCTCATCCCTTATTCTTAGTATTGAAACGAAGGCGCTTGTCGTCCTTCCGTTGCCTCTACCATCGCCTACATAATGGCATCAGCGACTTATATTCTGTTTGCTCGTTCGCTATCATGCTGCATTACTCTATCTAACATATGCATACATAAATACTGTGATGAGCGAGAGAAGATTGGAACAAAAAAGCTGCTATAATTTGCTTATATAGACATATATGCGTAATAAATCGGCTAAAAAGTTTCGACAGACTTTCCGAGAAGGCTACGTGTATATTTGCCGATATAATCGAGGACAACAGAGACTATAAATGTATGATAATCATATTTAAAGAACAAGAGAATGTCATTGCATTTCGATAAAAAAAAAAAAAAGAAGGACAAAAAATTTTCTTTTATATGCTTTTGTTTGTAAGTGAAAATACATATAATAATTGAAAACGAACTTAAATTCTATGAAAGTTTGACTTATAAGAAATAGATTGATAGTAGTGAAGGTGTTGAAAACATATCTATATATTGTTGATAGTTTGATTCATATATACATACCAATCAAATAATGCTCAAGACATCGTCGAATGTTATGCATATAAGTAGAGGTCAACATTAAGGTTACAATATCTTCTTCAAAGAGCAGTAGCAGGCAGCAGCAGTAACAGCAGTTAACGTAGTAGTCGTCAAAATTCATTCATCTGAAAAAAAGAGTCATACCGGAAGAAAGACAAAAAAAAGAAAGAGGAAGAAATCAATGAAAGAGGACACTAAGAAGAAAATACAATTATGAACAAAGAGAAAAATCAAGAAAACTAGTGCGTGTATGATTGATTATAAATGCAACACTTTTTTTTCTAGTACTACACACAGACAAAAACCATCTGTGTATGTATATCATTAATAGAACACTGTATAAATGCATAGAAAGATAATACAGCATCAAGGGAAACAAATCTATAAGTAATAAACAGAATAATATATATATATATATATTATATGGTCCTTGATTAATCTTGAAAAGTCAAAAATTTATTTTTATATATCGTTCAATATATTTTTCTTTGAGAAAAGTAAACTGAACATGAAGAAAAGTAAAACAATTAGCATACCTTGTCTATTATCAGTAGTTGCTCATCAATCATATTTCTCAATGTACTTTTTTTCTTTTTTTACTCTATAGTCTTTTATTTTCTTCTTCTTATTCTGTGTCTATTCGTGAGACACAATTCAATACAAGTTCGTATGTACACGCATTGCATTGAATGATCACCATCACGCGTATTGTCTCATCTTTCGATCACGAATCGATTTCATCTTTCTCTCATTCTCTCACACATAAATCCATATCAAACATACGACTGTCTATGATGTTCAGTTGAGCAGTGAAAGAACTCATAGACAAAAATTTATGTGTGAGAGAATAATGAATGGCCCACTGCCAAGTAGTATAACATACACATACACTGTTCAACATTTTCTTTTTTTCTCTTTCTCTCTTGCTATATGAATATATATATATATGCATGCAAGATGAACTCATTCGACGAGAGACAGAAAAAAGAGTGCACTCTGACCGAGTTGCATGCTCGCCTTCAATGTTGTTGTTGTTGTTATTGATGATGATGATGAAAGAATGAATGAATGAATGATGGCGGTACTAGTAGCCAAATAGAACATATGACTCAGTTAGTTTGATGCAAAATCAACAAAAAAGATATCTTCACTGTTTACATATAGGTTTTGTCATTTAAGAATGGAAGAATAGGCACAATAGTAGACCTTCATGAAAGCATCAATATTGCTAATACGAGCAAGAAAAAAAAAAGAGATTAACAACAGGAGTCATAAAAATCTCATATAGATCAAGGTTTGGATATATAGATATATCTACATATATAACTCATCTGAACATTGTTATGGTCAATCAGAAACAGCAAGGCTCTTCTATATACGCACTTGTGAAAGATTAACGTCAAAAAAAGAAAAAAGAAAAAAAGAAGAAAAGAGATATTATCAGTAGAGTGCGCATGCATGTGTATGCATATCGATATATATCAACGTTCAAGGGTAAAATAATGTCAATAGCAAAAACAACAACACGAATGAACGATATATGTGAGTTAAGTGGTTTGATGAATAACAAAATGTATAGAAAAAAAAGAGGTTTAATCGTGAGCAGAATCAGATAATTTAAATGCATTCATATGTATATGTATATACATACATTGTCAATACTCAATTGTCGACTCAACTTTACTATCTATCACTCTTTCGTTCATGTTCTATCATCTATATAAATATCGTTTTCGTGCTATGTTCTTATCACCCTTTGGATATGTTGAACACCACGACAACGAAGGAAGACAAAAGGTCACATATATGATGTGCTTACGTAAGCATTTATGCGGGCATTCGTTGATCAAGGCAATATTGTTGTTTCAAGAAGACACGTAGACACAGAACGATTATCAGTTGGTTGATTAGAATGAGAATCAGAGCATCACAACAACAACAATAATAATCATCCTCGAGCACCATATACGCAGCTGAACAATTTTTTTCTCTTCTTATTTATTATGAGGAGGGAATAGTAGAAGAAGAAGAGAAAGGATAAGTGCAAGCAAAAATTCTTCTATACCAACAAGAAGAAGCCATCGACATGTCTGTTGACCGAATATCGAATAGCATTCATATGTAAATATGTATATGCATATATATATGAGCAGAGATCAAAAAAGAAAAAAATCTTTATGTTCATCTAAAATTAAAGGTAATCATCGGTAGGAAGAGTCATGTGTATTAGTATAAAAAAATAATCAGAAGAAAACAAAAAGCCCTAAAATTCGTTTTTTTTTTGTTATCTCTTATCAAAATTATTCTATTTTTAAAACATCCTTTGTTACTTGATCATAATTTTTCGTTAATGCAATTATATCACGATAAATCCATGTACAACCTGATTCACGCAATAATTTTTCATCAAAACCACCACAAAGAACACCAACTATTTTTAATTTTGCTGCTATGGCAGCTAATATAAAACAATAATGATGTATCTTTTAAATGTGTATTAAAAAATTATCTTACCTTGTGCATCCCATGGTGTATCACCAACAACAACTACACGATCAGTTGATGGATTTTTTAATAATTTTAATGCTGCTAAGAATATATCTAAAATTACAAAATTAGATTAATTAATAAAGAAGAAGAAAATTATATTATGATTTCTACCTGGATAAGGCTTCGATCGTTTGACATCTTTTGAATTTGAACTTGTTTGACAATCAATTAAATCACTAACATTAGCAATATGTTTATAAAGTTCTAATTCATCTGTCGGTGCTGATGATGCAAGTGCAATAGGAATATTTCGTTGTTTAATTAATTCAAATAATTCTCGAACACCAGAAAATGGTTTTATTTTATCAAGATATTTATCTTTGAATAATTTTGCTTTTCTTGCTTTAATATCTTCACTGTATTTTTTAATTTGTTCATCAGTTGCAAATACAGGTAATAATTGATCAGCAGCTTTACCGATTTGCATACGAACATCAGGTAGATTTGATTTAATGTTATAATATTCTAATGCATCATGCCAAGCTTTTGCATGATAATCAACAGAATCAATAAGTGTACCATCGACATCAAAGATTACCGCATCAAGTTCACGTCGTTTTGTTGAAATATAACGAATTGATAAAGGTAACTAAAGAAAAGTATTAAGATAAGAAATAAAAAAGAAAACAAAAATTTACGAATATAAATAATCATACTTGACGAAGACTTATTAATGATGAATAAGATCGAAACATTTTTATTGATTTGCGGATAACAGAAAATAAGTAAATTCAATATTAAGTAACAGTCGGCAATTATAGGACTGAGACATTGTCCAATGACCTTTATTGACCAGTACACATATGAATGGAAAAGAGGGCGCTATTTTCTTGCAATCTTTATCTAAGCTTATAGTGAATTAAGAACACGGCATAGGTCCCGAATAGACTGAAAAAAAATAAAACAAATTAAGCAACATGATTGGTCTATTTCGATTTAAATCGTCTTTTTGAGACGATTTATTCGTTAATTCAGTTTTAATTCACTTTGAATTAGTCGGTCTATTCGGGGCCATACATATTCAAACAACAATGTACACCATTGTGTTTTTATGTAGAAATCTATTTTAGACTACATAAGAATAAGAAAAGAAAAATATTTCTAACATCATAAAAAGAAAGTGAAATTTGACATGAGGTATGAAATTATATGCAATGATTTTTTGTTCATTCATTTTCTTGAGGCATTAAAGACAATAATTGATACTAAAAAGAAGTGAAGTACTTAGTGAAACGAAGAGAAAAAAGAGTTCGACGACGACAAAAATGCAAAACAAATAGAAAATGTCTTGAGAAAAATTCCAACATACTATGTAAGTTCAAATCATTTTTTTCCTTATTCAAACACCACGCACATCATGGACAGTAATAGAAAGACGATAACGACCACAATTGAGGCTACTATGCCATTTGAACATAGGAACATAATGTCACAGCAACCTCCATATGCTCATATGGTTCAGAATTTCATCCTTGTGTGGTTTAATCCCAATATCGATGTGATAAACCACAGCGAGTGTACTAATACCATCAGCAAATTAAAGGAAATGGTGAATAAAATACATCCATTCACTAATGTGGATGGAATGCATCGATTTGATAACCGACACTCAAGAAGAGAAAATATTTATGATCGTTTCTGATATCTTCGCGCAAACAACTCTTCCCATCGCTTATAACATTCTATAAGTCACTAATGTCTATATTTTGAGTAAAAGCCAAGCTGAACATGAAGGTTGGACTAATCAATCGTCAAAAATACAAGGATTCTTTGAAAACATTACTCCTATCTGTGAATCTCTTCAACAAGCGGCAAAAGAATGTGATCAAAACATGGTATCGATCAGTTTTCTCACAACCAGTAGTGAAAACAGAGAGTCAAATCTCTACCAATTAGAATCATCGTTTATGTATACTCAAATAATGAAGGAAATTTTATTCACCACTGATTTCAAACAACAACATATCGATAAAAATTTACTACTTGTTGTCATCAATTATTTGCCGCGAATTCTTTGAGGGAACTGCAAAATATCAGCAAACTCGAACGTGAATATCACGAACATGTTCCAATATGATGGTATACGTAACCATGTTTTCTTTATTCAATACTAAATCGATCATAACGCATGATGAAGATCGATCTCATCATAAGCAGGGATTTCTTTATTTGCCATCTTCACAATCACAATTGCCCAAATTCATGAACAACCGTTTGCTGGACAATCGAAGTTGAAGGCTGACCTTGATCAATTGGTCAAAAGCAGAGGTGAACTTTTATCATTTAATAATTTTTTTGTCGACTAGTATGTGGTGTCATGTATTTCTTAATTTTGCTCGTAGAACTATGCAATCGCGAGTCTTGTTGGTATTTTATTCATTATGAAAATTGATTCGTGCATTTGGTCAAAACCATTTACTCACATACATGATATAAGTTATTTCAAAGGAGAACAAGAAATTCTCTTCTCCATGCATTTCATCTTTTTCGCAGTGGATCAATGCAACAAATCGATGGAAACAATTGTCTTTGGAAAGTCGATTTAACATCAATCAGTGACAACGATCCAGAACTTCATACACTTGCTGAATACGTGCGCAAAAATACTCATACTTAGAAGAAAGGGTGGGACAAGGGGGAAACGGCGGATTTTGGATTTTTGGGATTTTTTTGGGATTTTTGGGATTTTTGGGATTTTTGGGATTTTGATAATCCCAAAATCCAACACCAATATCCTGTTGAAGATACAGAAATTTCGAGCTGAAACTTTGTCCATATGTTGGCTTCGTGGTTCTTAAAATATTCTAGAAGTTTCAGCGCCAACGGATGTTATCTTCTGGAGATAATACGATCGCAAGAAATACTCATATTTCACATCTTGGTCAGAAAATCCACTTTTATTGGACGTTGATTATCTTGAGAAGGAAACATCCGTTTGCATTGAAACTTTCAGGATATTTTAAGGATCAAAAGCTCTACATATGCTGGAA